GCAAAAACTTAGGCTCGGTGATGAGGTATGCCTGGAGGTCCTTCACCAGCCCACGTGCTCCGCGCGCGGATCGAGGGATGATTTTTACTGGGGCTGAACGGAGGCGCCTTGCCTGTTACAACCCCTGCAAGCCTTGCTCAGCCGTACCTCTAGGTATCAACGTGAGATATAAGCTGAGCCTTTCCTGCATTTCCCATCTATATTTCATCCTCGTTTTCTTGCGTTTGAGCTTCCGCAATGCCTAGCATAGCGAAAACCGTGTACTGGGCCCTCGTCGTAGCGTGGGGCGCGTCGCTCTACCAAATCTATCTGAAAGATCTTTTTGCAATTACCTTTGGTGTTGGGCGCGTGATACAGAGCATCGACGACTTTCCAGAGTTTAGTTGTCGCCGTCTGGTGCATCCAAGGCTGGAGGCGTGCGAGGATATTTGGCTGGACAATGAGGGAAGAACATTGTATGCGGCGTGCGCAGGTACAGCGCCTAGATTGGCTTGGAATCAAGCGTACGTTATCTCACAGCTATGCCGCTACAAATGAACGCGGTTTCGCTGTCTGAATTACTGACTGGTATAGCATGAATGACCTCAACGTAACTGGACGGCGGCCCGGCGGCTCAGAGCTCCTCGCCTTGGATATCGACGAGCCTGGTGAAGACGGTCTCTACAATCTTCGCAGTATCAAGCCAATCGGCCATTATAAAGGAGTAGATGGTGGCTCTGATCTCGATCTTCTGGGCTTCGATGTCCAGATCTTGGACGACAACACCATGCGCTTCTACTTTGTCAACCAACGACCACCAGTCGATGCGTCCAATAGCATTGTCGATGCTTCTGAAAGTGGCGCGAACTCAACAATCGAGATCTTCGAGATGAGAAAGGGTCAAGAACAGATGCTTCATGTCCGAACCGTCTTTTCTGACGAGATTTGGACGCCGAACCGTGTTGCGGCGCTTGGCGATGGCTCTGGTGGATTTCTGGTTACGAACGATCATTCAGTCAAGGTTGGCATGGTACGTGGCAACCGTATCTAATCATATATCAAGTGACTAACGCAAACCAGCGTCTCGCACTCGACTACTTCATCGGTGGAGGAAACGTTGCCTACTGCGACGGAGCTGGGAAGTGTCACGCAGCCTACGACGGCAGTGAGGAGCGCCAGTTCACACGATCAGACGCACCCAGTGAGCCAAAGTATAAAGCATACCTTAACAAGGCGCTCAGTTACCTTCCCAAAACGAGGCTCAAGTTCCCCAACGGACTGGCCCTCGGCCGAGACGGCCTCTTCTACGTCCCCAGCACCATCGACGGTCAGATCCGCGTCCTAGCACTCCAGCCCGACAACACCCTCAGCTTGGTCGATACCATTCACGTTGGCATGCCACTCGACAACATCTCACCGGACGCGAACGGTGATATGTACGTCGCAGGTTTCCCGAATCTATACCAATCTAGTAAAGGCTTTGACGATCCTTATAATGGCATTTCACCTGTTACTATCTGGCGTATCAGGAAAACGGTAGATGTAGGAAAGACTGGAGTAAGAAGCGTGGATTATAGGGTTGAGAAGGTTATTGAGGATAAGGATGCGAAGGTGCTGAGTGGGAGTACGACAGTTAGGCATGATGTCAAGACTGGGCGGTTGTTTGTCAGTGGTAAGTTGACTGCGATGGTTGGTAACAACGAGTGTGCGCTAATTTTAGACAGCTGCCGTACATCCTTTCCTTGTGGTTTGCGAACCCACCAGATAAACGATCTTACCGAGGCTGCATGACATCGACAAAGCGTAAAGCGCCTTTGGTGAGTCGTGCAACAATCCGACTGCTCGAAAGCATGGGTAGATGATGGAGTATTTTGGGAAAACAGCAGAAGACCGCAGTCATAGAATGCTTGTGTAAGTAATTTTGATAGTCGAAACTGTAAAGGTAATAAAGAGAGCGTGACAGAAGGAATGAAGGCTATATACCCTCCACAGAATTCCAAAGATCTTGCCACTAGCTCTCCAAAAGACGAACCCATGTGGTGCTGATAGTTTTGCAAAGGCTGCAGCACTTTCTGATGTCGCACGCAGACTTCGCAAAGATACTTCCTAATACATCACATGGGCGATGTACTTGCTACTTCGTAAAGGGAACCCAGGGTTGACATTACAAAAGTGCAGTGGCATCTTAGTTTACTGGGCTCTGAGAACATTGAGGCTAGTTCCATCATTTCTGGAATTGCACTGATGACCATGAAGTGCACAGATGACGAGTAGGAAGTGGGGTAGGAGACCCCTCACGGTTCCAGAAAAGGCTGTACGGCGCCGAAACGTGAGACCTTGATCCATACTGGTAGAAGATTATGAGGCTACACTGGTTTAGTTCCGGCGAAGCTGTTCATGGAAGTACACGGCGAGATATGCTGATTATCCATAGCTTGAGACTTTTAGTCAACCAAGGCATACGTCCCTAGCCGTATACAATTGCGTCAACAATATCTTTTAGAGTAGTCAAAACATGAGCTGCTGCATACGCCAAGTTTCTAAAGTTTTGGGATCTTATGTAGCGTCCAACGAATCCTCTCAGGCCAAATCATCGTTCAGTCGACGAGTGCTTTTGAATATGATGCAACCAGAAAGAAGAAGGGAACTCATGGGTCTTAATCGCTCGTAATTTAGAGGCATCCCGGCAAGAAGTGTGTTGATAAGAGAAGACAGCGGCACGACGGATATTTATATATCTCTTCTCCCCCACCCTAGCTTTCTTTCCGCTCTAGCCTCGTCTTCCCTCTCAGACCTGCGCAAAAAGACCCCTCGCGTCCCTCCGCCACCTCACCAGCGCCACTAGATTCGCACACGGAGCGCACTGCACCCATGCGTGTGTCAAGTTGCAGACCACCTCATCCACCCTCCTCTTGTCCCCGTCATTGAGCCCAGCAGTAAAGTCCTCCCAGTCTTTGGCCGTAATGTTGTCGTTGGTCTCAGCCTCGCTGAAGATACGATAGACCGCCATGGTGACGTCGTTGTCGACCTCTGCGAGGATTTGTTGGCAGCGGTCGGTGGACATCGTTATATTTGGCTTGGGAGGGTTTCGCAATAGTTTGGAGTGTTGTGGCTTTGTTGTAGTTGGTAAAAGCAGGTTATGTATTAATTCGAGTAAAATGGATATTCGACTTGAAGGAGTAATGTGGGTGAGGTGGCGGAATATATACGAAATGGTAGCCGGCTTCCATGTTTGCGCAGCCCAAAGATTGAATGATGCGACATCGATTGACCCTTCAAGTGTTGGCACCATTGGCAAGACTCGATGTCAACCTCATATATCAATGTACCGATATCGAAAGGTTGATTTTTCGAAGGGTGCACTGGACATGGAAGCAGCCTTCGTTGCTGTTGTAACAAACTGGAAAGCAGACGAGGCAAAGACATCGCTTCTTGTGAATGACGTTTTGGGAATATAGACACCGCTATGGTATGAATAAGGGATGCAGCACGAAAGAAGAGTGATGTTGAGCCCCGCCGTCGTCTTCTGTGTTGAAGCAGCCGCAGAGGGCCAGCGCGGACATTGCACTGTCTTCTCGTAACTTGAACTCGCAGACATAAATTCTCTGGTGTATGTTTTCGAACGTGCCCATTGTTATATAGGATAAAGATCGTATGGCAGAGGAGAAGGCATCGTATTGAGGAACGGTAGATTTTCATGCGAACCACGGAAGTTGGTGCAGCGATCATGCGTTCCCATCCATGGGATTTTAGAAATGAGCAGAAGCGACTCGTCTACCGAGACATGTTGCAGAGCCAATTTGGATTTAAGCTCGCCGTATGATTGTCAAAAGGCCAGAAAAGCAGGCATGGAGTAAGCCTGGACGTAATTTTGGAATTTCAGTAGGAGGAGCACATCTCGACGCAATCATCAGTGGCGGCCTTGTAAATTTTCGGTTTTCTGTCTGCAAAACAGGATGCGAAGTAGATTTCGTGCAGCAAAGCCCATAATTTATAGAGAAACAAGAAGCAAGGCGCCAACTCAACAGCATCACCATTTTTGTTGTGCTTTTGCAAGAACGGAAGCAACCCAAAGACCAGACATGGCGAAGTATTCCGTTATTTTCGAGTACGAGGATAAAGTCCAGAAAACGAAGGACATGTTTCTGGTGTGTGCAGAAAGCCTCAGGAAGAGAAGACATCCAAACACGTGCGAGGTCTTTTGGTATCTTGGGGAAGAGATGGGAAAGGAAAGAGGTGAGTCCACAGGAAGGTTTTGTATCAACTCGAGATTGCAGTCCACACGCACACCATAGTCTCGTCATCGCAGAAATTTAGAGTGAAGCGCAAAGCCGGTGCCGCGAACATCGCTTGCTTCCACGGCCTTTCTTGGGGCTTGCTGCTAGAGTCGCGCTTGAGAAAGGGAGACATCTCCGTTTTCGTTGAAGATTTTATTCCTTCGCAAGCTTGCTCCAGAAACGCAAACATGTGTGGTTGCGTATGCGTTTTTGGCTTTTGGGCAGCTGTTCCGAAGCCACCAGTCATGCGATGTAGGACCCCATCTTTCGATTTGTGCAAAGCTCAGAGAGCGGGAGTCTCATTGCACCGTCTTCTCGGGTTTTGGAGAATGTGGCGAGGAAAGGTGCAGAGGCGTAGACATGGCTTAATGCCGGTGAGCGTTTTGAAAAAAAGAAGTAGGGAAGCACCCATCAGTAGCTGCCCCATAGTTTTGAGAAAGAACACCTGGAGAAAGATATGAACAGGAAGGCTTGGAAGCCTGGCAAGAAGGTTTATATACGCATCCAGGGACTGCGAGCACGTGAGCTTGTGTGGATAGCGATTCAGAATTGCGCCAGGATGGACTGATGTGAACGCATCGGAGCTCGTCGCATGCCCCGTCGCAAGCCGGTCCGTAAACACCCGTTGCAGCACAACACATCAACCACAACGGCGACTGAGCAGAGAAATGATCAATTCTTCGTACCAAAATTAGTCTACCACCAAAATACTATATGCACCTCTATATCCCACTATTCCTCCATCTACCGCTTGACCAACCCGGCAGCAGCAGCCTTCATCTCCGCCTCCTCATTCTTCTTCCTCTGGGCCTCAATCTCAGCCCTTGCTTTCCTCTTCTCCTCCTGTTGCAACTGATCCGGTCTTCGCTCGGCAATATCCTTTGGCTTGTTATCCGAGAAGAAGAACTTCAGACCCTTCTCAATGATGTAGCAGGCAACGAAGTCGAATGCCATGATGCTTGTAATCATGATCTTGAAGTCGGTGGTGAAGGGGACGAGCTTGAGCTTCTCGTTGAGTTCGGGGATGAACTCGGTGGCGCAGGAGAAGGCGACACCGGAGACGGAGACGAGACCCCAGTACATGCCCTTGTTTTCGCGGATGGACTCGCGGAAAGGTCGGCCTTGGTAGTTAATGGCAAAGGTGGAGATTTGTTGGATGAGTTGCAGGAGGTAGATTGCGGAGTTGAGCAGAGATGGCTCAAAGTCCTTCTCTAGATCTGGGTTGGGGTCCTTGGGCTCAACGCGCTGGACGTATTGACTGACGTAGATGAGGGTGATGATGTGGATAGCGAACTGTCCGAGTACGGAGCCGATGATGTATGTGTTGAAGATGTTGTGCTGGGGACGTTCTTTCGATAGCGTCTCGACGGTCTTTGCGCGCGAGATGGACAGGAAGCAAACACTCATCATCATACCGGAGATGGTGACCTGGCCGTCGCCGAACTTGATACCATCCAGGTAGAGGACTGACAGACTGTAGGCGGAGATCAAGCAGTTGAGAGCAAGAATCTTGTACATCTGGATTGTAGCGACGAGTGTGCAACGGCCTTGGCGGATAATGTTGGGAATGGCAACGACATTGGCGAGCTTAGAGGTGAAGGGCGCAGCGACGGAGGCATCACCAAGCTTGATGGTCGGAGGCTCACCGGCCAACTCTTCCATCTCTTGTGCCATCATCTTCTCTTGCATTTGCTGAGCGAAGTTGGCGGCGGCCTGAGGAGGCTGAACTTGACCAGGTTGCTGTTGAACAAGGGTACCAGTAGATGCCGATCCGTTAGCAACGCCGTTGGCTCCGGGAAGTAGACCCTTCCTCTTCGCTTGGTTCTCCATAGCCTTCTCGTAGTGAGGGTTGGTGGGACCAGGTGGGTAGAGATGCGCGATCATGATCGGAACGGGCGGCTGGGGCTGGTTGAATCGTGTCATGAGGTTGCACTGCTTCTCGTAGACGTTCTTCATCTGAGTGTTGCGGAAGTGCTCGCCAATCTTGTCAAGATCCTCGCGAGTACCGTTGAGAAGAGCGACACCAATGTGAGCCTGCTTCAGCGCACCAACATCGTTGGTGCCGTCACCAGCCATGAGTGTAGTGTAACCGCAGTCCTTGAGACCGAGAAGGATTTCCTCCTTCTGCTTTGGCGAGACACGAGCGTAGACCCAGGTGTATCGCAGAATTTGCTTCCATCCAGGCTGGCCAGCGAATTTCGAAAGGGCGTATCCAGTAAGACAGATGTCCTTAGACTTCAAGATCTCGGCGTCCAGAGGCTTTGTAGGGTCGACAGGAATGCTCACCTTGTCAACGCTGCGCCAGACAAGTTTCTCGCCGGAGTCGTCATTCTCAGGTGCATCAAGGATGTAGCAATCGCGGTCGACGATCTCGACCTGCTTGGCGACATGGACAGCGGTCAACGGGTTGTCACCAGTAATCATGACAACACGATGGCTGGACTCGTTGAGGGAACGGACAGCCTCGACAGCGTCAGGCTTGAGAGGGCACTGGAGGACGAGGAAACCAGCAAAGTGCAAGTCAGACTCGACTTGCTCACGCTTGAGGTCGTTGATGCGGTTCTGGCCCCACTCGCCCTCTTCGGAGATGAACTTGTATGCAAGAGCGAGGACACGGCCACCATTACGGGTGAAGTGCTTGAAAGTCTCTTCGTAGTTCGGCGGGGTGTTGACCAACATCTTGCGAATAGTCTCGGGCGCGCCCTTGACTGCAGCGATTGTGCTCTTGACCTTGCGGCCAGTCTTGGTGTTGTTGACGATGACGGTAGCGACGGAGCTCTGGCGTTTGAGAGCGGACGAGAATTGGAAGCGGCGACGGATGTGTACGAGTTCGGCTTGGGATTTGGGGGTAGTCATGGTGGCTTGAAGTGTGTCCTTCGCTCCGAGTTTCCAGCCGAGAGACTGGAGGGTTGCCTTTTCCATAGGCTCTCCAACAGTCTCACCATCGTCAAGTTTGACCAAGGCGTGAGCGGCGGCGAGCACCAGCGTTGTCTCCGTAGCGACGTCTGTAACCTTTGCGAGATCGGTGTGCGCGCCGTCTGCGGCAACTGTAGCTCCATCTTGTCCCAATGATAGCCCAGCAATGCCGTCCACGACCAAGTCTTCACCAGTCAGAGTGCCGGTCTTATCGAAGCAGGCAACGTCGACCTGCCCAGCGAAGGGAATGCGGAAGGGCTCGGTACAGAAGATGGCGTACTTGCTCAGAGCAGCGAGGGAGGTGTTGACAGCCAAGCTGAGCTCCATGGGAAGCTCGGGAGGGACGACGCTGGTAACGATGAGGACGCAGTCGAGGAGCAGCTTGTTACGCTGGCGGTCGAGTCTGACACCCTCCTGCCAGACGTACCACGAGGCAGCGACGGCGAAGACGGTAAGGAAGAGAATGAAGAAGAGGGCTTCGACGTTGTTGGCTGAGACGCGCTCGGTAGCGAAGATCATGGTCCTGACGAGGCTGCCCTGGTTGGTCTCGAAACCAGTCTTGATAACAACAGCAACAGCGCCCTTGTCCGGTGGTGGCGGGACTCCAGACGAAAGCCTAGTGACGTTGCCGCCATCCTCCTCAGCGTCGCTACCGTGCGAGACCTGGAGCACTTTGGTGCCGCCCCAGAGGAACGAGTTCTTGTCCAGACCCTCAGGCTCGATGCGCGCATCGCCAGGTCGCAATTGTACGGATTCCTTGAGCACCGGTGTGCTCTCTCCGGAAAGCATAGCCTCGTTTACAATCGCGGAGCCCTCGAGTAGGAGCATGTCGCATGCCACACCAGAGTCTTCCTTGGTCCGGCCTGCGCTGACGACATCGCCGGGTAGCAGCTTGTCGCTCATGATCTCCTGCCACTTCTTCTGCCTGTACACCAGAATCTCGTAGGGCTTGATGCTCATGCCGCGGAACTCGTTCAGGGTCCTCTGCCTCTGCCACACGACGGTGCTCTCGAAAGCGACCAGCATGAACAGCGTGAACAGCGAGTAGTACCAGTATTCGTCCAGCATCCACAGTCCAACGCAGAAGATCTGGAAGACGAAGAAGGGCGCGACGGCGTGTTCCTTGAACAGCTCGGTGAAGGTTGGGACGGGGATGTCGAACGCGTTGTCGCCATAGTGCTGGGTGAGGCGCTCAATCTCGGCGGGCGAGGTGAGGCCCTGCGTCTGCTGGAACGTCTTGAGCTGGGGCTTGGGTTCGATGTCGAGCGGGTAGGACAGCGGGGCGAAGGAGCCTTTCTCGGCGTCGTAGAGGAAACGGCGCTTCTGGAAGAGGAAGGAAAGGTTCGACTTTCCGCCCACATTGTCGCGCACCAATGGGACAATCTCAGCGGCACCCGCGTTCTTGACGGGCTGCACTTTGATAAGCGATGCCGAGCGCACGTCGCTGGCCGAGGTGGTGGTGAAGGCGCTCTTGAGGTTGACGTTCCAGTGCGTCATCAGCCAGAAGAGCGACTGGAAGGTGGTGATGCTGGCGACCCAGACAAAGGTCCATTCCGACGACTGGATGTACTGCTCGTAGCGCTGCGGCGAAAAGTATATGGCGGAGAAGGCGGGCCACACTATCAAAAAGGGCCAGATGTACGTGTGCAGCTGCAGCGGCAGCGGGTTGTGCAGGCTGGCCTGCTTGATCTGGGGGTTGTCGACAAGCGGGGCCATGGTTGTGGTTGTCGTGTCCAGACGAACGTCAGTCCTCGAAGATTATTGAGACCCTTTGCCTTCGCGCCCGCCGCCGTCGGCGCTACTTTGCCCGATGCACGTGGCGGAACATTCACGAACACGGAATGAAAGCGGATTAGCGTCCGCCGTGATTGGTCCGTCTGCTCAACTCCTCAATCTCGAAACGTTCTGTTTTTACCGTGAAAGGCTTCACTCTCTTTATTCTACATCATCTATCAAACAATGAAGACTCCTTGGTGGTCGCGGGAACCCCCGCCAGCAACCCTCTGCAAAGCGCCAGCCCTCGCAGCCGCATCACCTCTGCCCAGATAGCATCCATCCGATCTTCGAAAAACGTATCCGTCCATGCGACATGCCGCATTTCATGCTCAAGATGCTGTCTACTCCTAATCTGCCTCTTCCCACACAGTTCTGATAGCTGCGCGATCCACCACATGCGCTCTTCGCCTGTCGCAACACAACTCGCAACAACCAGAATCCAAAGCAACATATTCAAATTCTTCTCTCGTCTCCATACTTCCAGCATCGGTGCATTCGGTCGATCTAAAGCCGTACGTAGCCGGATAAGAAGGATGGTGAAGATCTTCGTGTTCAGTGGCAGAGCACGAAGTACCGCGTACACGAAGATGAGGGCTGCTGCAAGTAGGGCCTCAACCACACTCGCTGCATCTGCTCTAGCCTTGAGATAATCGTAGCAGTCGCTTTGTTCGTCATGCATACTCTGGTCAAAGTGCAAGAAGTTGTGTGAGTAATCAGGTACTGAAAGGGTCGTGAACTGTGTTTCGTAGAGGAGATTGCTGAGAGTGAGGCGCTCCACACGACCAATCCAGTGCGAAGACACTACTAGAGCGAGACGATGGATTCGATAAAAAATGTTGAAGCAGTCGACCGCGCCGCAAGTAAGGTGGAGCAGTGACGTGGGCGACGTTTGGGCCGCTTCTTCTTTGAGCTCGTCCGGCAAAGGAGGCGTATCCGGGTCCAGACTGATTTGCGGGAAAGATGGATGCGCGCGAGAGACTGCTGCAGAGTGAAAGTCCATCCTGTCAGGTGGTTCAGCGATGAAATTACGCCACAGGTGGCATTGAGCTTACCATATGATGCCACGCAGCAAGCCATCGTTGTGTCCAAAGGCAAACAGCCCACCTCGCACTTTCACCATACGTTCCAATGCTGTCATGTGAAGTCGAGCCGCTTCGTAGTCTCCAAGAAGATTCTGGAACAGTTAGCATGGGTCATTTTACGAGAAGAAGTGCTTGTACCTCGAGATTTGCCAAAGTCAATACAGTGCCGACCACCTCATCAGATAAGTATCCTCCAGACATCGCAAGTTTGTAGTTGACGGCCTTGATCGCTTCATTCTTGTGCTTGAGTTTGCACACTCTCAAGTCAGCGAGTTCATTGGCCAGCATGCCGTATAGTGCCCAGCTTGCCAGAGTTGCGTGCAGCAAGCCGGCATCACTCAAGATGAGTGACTTCCACGTGTGCTGGGCATCGATGGCGACTGCATTGCTCTTGGGTGCACTCTTATCTGTCTTTGGTGTCAGCTAATGGGCCCCTTGGCTTCAGAATCCGCCCTCGTAGTTGGACAACGTGCATCGACTCTACGTACACAATTGGAATAGCGCACCCAGCTCTGGAGTTCCAGGTATGGGTGAAGCCTTGAAAGGATCTATCCGATCATTATCCAGGCCGCACTTCAGCACTAACCTTGCTGCCAGTGTTTCAGCCGGGGGTTTTCTCTTGTGTTTGCCATCTTCCCCAGCTTTCGCAAATGTTGTTGCTCCCGACCTACCTCTCAGATCTTTCGGCCTTGCTGCGCCCTTCTCTCTCGCTCTCCGTGCGTCTTCCCTCTCTCTGCTATTGGCCTTCTCTTTCTTGATTCGAGGTTCGGATACCCGAAATCGGTTCTTTAGCTTCTTCTTCGCCATGGCCGTGCTGATCGAAGAGTGCTGAGACGGGTTGATCCGCGGTCCAGCCATCTTCATATCGAAGTGATTGCGCATCACCAGCCGCCGGATCATGCATCGTTCCGCACCAGCTGGGTTATATGGCTTATCCGTCGTTACAAAGAATTCGTACTCGCGCTCCATGATTTTCGTGAGCCCTGTCGGTGGATCTGATGGGAGGGGTATCCGTACTTCAGAATTAGAGCTACGCGGTCACCAAATGATGGCTTGCGCCGAAAATAAGGGAATGTGGCTGGGCGTTTGAGATATCTCCTGTATATCCAATGTGATACTTCGGCCTCCAACTACCACACCTCGTTATGTGCAACCATAAGCCACCCCATCGGCCGAAGCAGCAACCTATGCCCGGGGATCAGCTCGCGTAAGTGGTATCGAGTGTATGGGAAGTCATCTTGGTTGGCTTATATAAGACCTATGCTGATTACGGCAGCGGGGTCGACATGCGAGGCACCGTGCCATTGGACAACAGCAACATAAGACGTGCGCCTCGTACGCGATAAGCCTCGGGCTTTCCGCCGATGTTTGAGGCGACTGAAAAGGAAACGCGGGGGGCCAAAACTCGTATTCTGGTAGCGACACGCGTGGGCAAATTATTCATGCAGCCCTACAGCGCCTCGGGAATGATGGCTGCTGCATTCGGGGATATCTCTACTCTATACACAACGCCTCTACAACCCCGAGTTGAATGCCACACCTTCAACGCCAACAGCCTACCCGAGACCGTTTCCACATTTATTTGCCCTTGTCCTCTCTCAGACTAACAATCTGGTTGAGTACAATCTTGTCCTCCGTAGAATCGATATCGACACAGAAATAAGCAGTGCGCAGTGCCTGGAAGCGCACAAGAGCATCCGACGATCCACTCAGATCAAGTGAAGTCTCGCTGATGAGGTCCTTGATGCCCCGCTCGATGACAGCCTTGTCATGGATGATTTCGGAGTTGGGGTTGAGATCGTCAGCCCAGCCGCCCGTCTTCCAGTCCAGTGTGTTGGGTGACTCGGTCTTGAAGAGCGAGTTGTACAGACGTGCTGTGACGGGAACGGCTGTCGCCACGTCCACCCATTGAACGTAGGCTTTCGGCTTCTCCGTACCCGGTACCTTGACAGCCTTGATCTCAGACACGTTGCCGTTCTCGTCCTTGGAGAAAGATGTCGCACGGATTGCGAATGGGACATTGTATAGACCCACGGCTTTGTTTGGCGCCAGACGGAAGTAGTCGGCGCTGTCCTCTTCTCTGAAGTCGCTGCGATCTATGTAAACGGCGCTCCCAATCTTCACCTTGCGCTCGCCGGGTATGGTGCCCTTGGGATCGTAGGGTACTGTTATCTCTTGTTCGTCCTCAGTCGCAAAGTCTTCGATGACTACTTTGATAGGATCGAGCACCATCATCTGGCGCGGCACGGTTCGCTCGAGGTGTTTGCGAATTGAAGCTTCAAAACGTGGAGGCTCGATTTCCGAAAGCGCATCTGTAACACCGAGCTCGTCGACGAAGTTGAGCATGGCCTTGGCTGGAATGCCGCGACGGCGCAGAGCCACCATGGTGAAGAGTCGGGGGTCGTCCCATCCTCGTACTACGCCAGGTATCTTCTTTGTCTCGACTGTGCCGTCCGCGTTCTTCTTCTCGACGGTTGTACCTTCCACGAGCTGGAGGATGCGTCGCTTCGAGAGGATCGTGCCGCCAACGCTTAGACGTCCGAACCTACGGGAGATTAGCATGGGTGAGTCTAGGTGGGAACCGTCACTTACTCTCGCTGCATTGGTCCCTTTTCCTCCGACTTGGGTACTTTCATGTCCAATTGCTCCAGTAGCCAGTCGTAGGAAATACGCGACTGGCGGAACTCGACTGTACACAACGAATGGCTGATTCCCTCGAGAGCATCGCAAATGCAGTGGGTGAAGTCGTAGGTAGGGTAGATTCTCCACTTGTCGCCAGTTCGGTGGTGGTGGTTCTCTTTGACAACGCGGTAGGCGGGCAGATCCCACATCTGCGGGTTGCCCTCATCCGGGTCCGTCAACTTCTGCTTCATGCGCAAGAAAGCCTCTCCAGCCTGGTATTTGCCATCGCGCATCGCCCGGAACTCCGTGAGGGACTCTTCGATCGGCCGCGTGCGGTGTGCGCAGCCATAGCGTTTGCCTCTGTTGTCGGGTCCTCCGCGCTGGTTGTTGATCTCTTCGCCTGCGCCAGATTTAGTACTGCGCATATGACGATAGCTATGCGGACTTACGTGAGCAGTGGCACACATAGGCGCCGTCCTTTTGGATGAGCTGCTCTGCAAGTTCGTACAGCTTGTCAAAGTTGTCGCTGCTGTATGTAATCTTCCACGGCTCGAAGCCTAGCCACTTGACGATATCCAGGATGGCAGTGAAGTAGATCTCGTCCTCCTTCTCCGGGTTGGTGTCGTCGTATCGCAGGTAGCACTTGCCATTGTGATGCTTTGCGAAGCCAAAGTCGACGGCGATGGCCTTGGCGTGACCGATGTGGAGGAAGCCGTTTGGTTCGGGAGGGAATCGGGTTCTGACTTCTGACACGGGCTTCTCTTCGTAGATGCGCTTCAGCCAGCCCTCAGAGAAGATGCTCGTCGGCTCGCTCTTTGTGGTAGGTTTTGCCTGCTCTTTGGGTCGGAGGGCATGCTCGGCCTTCTTGGCCTTTGCTGCGGCTTTCTTCGCAGCCTTCTCGAGCGCACGCTTCGAAGGGCCCTTCTCCTCCTCGGCGGCCGGTGGGGCGGGAGCTGTAGGTTCCGCCATGTCTGCGCGACGTCAGTACACGTGTTGTCAAAGATGCGTCGTGCAGAATATACACGTGACTTTACAGCAGAAAGAAGACGCGTCGAGTTCGTTACTTACCAGGAAAGTGTCGTGGTTGCGGAGCTCGTGTGCTGCGGGAGGGGCTCTATCAATAACTTTGGAGGGGCATTGACTCAAACGCGCTACACCAGCCACACCCCTAACGCCACACTAACACGGCATCTCAACTTCCCCTGCCTGCTGCCCTTCCATCACACACGCTGGACCACTCATTCCCGGATCGTGATCGGATGCGCTTCAATCGAATTCCTAGTCTACATGGCTGTCGGCGACCCCAAAAGCCTCATTTGACGTGCATCAGGAACCCGATACCTTCACGGCACCGCCCTCACGACCAGACTTATAAACCATCTAGCAGTCGAGAATGTCGAAATCACAACGAACGTACTGTGAATCTCTCGTCACGGCACAGCTACAGTCACGCTACAGCCTTGATATGTTGAGACATGGAATGTACTGCGAAACAAGACCATGAACACAACACAAAGCGGATTCAGAGCTTAGACACGAATCCGGCAACATGATATCCAGGATTGACATAGAAATACTCTAGTGGTAACTATGGGTTCGGTTCGTGTACGACTAACTTCATCTCCGACAGTGTTTCCAGCTTCAACATGCAACTTCGCCCCTTCCAAAGCATCGTCAACTCTGCAGGTCGGAAATGCCGTCCTTCGGTATTGGCACGAGGCATGGAAGGTGCACTTGGAGCTATGTCAACTTCAATCTCCAGACGTGAAACATGTAAAACAGCAAAACTCAGCGACCAGCATGCCACTCTTGGTGCATACCCGATCCTTAACTATTTCTCACGACAGATGCTCAACGCGCGCCAATCTTTATATCGCTCCTTATTTCGCACACGCTTTCCTGCCCAACGAATCACATCAAACTTCCCATCGATGGTGACCACAAGAAACAAAAACTATACCTACGACAACGCCCCTCAGGAGCAAGGCGGAATGGGGCCAACAACAGAGTCACTCGATAATCGGCGAGCAAGGCAAGCGCATCTTCTCCTTTCGAAACACTACGAGCCCGTCATCTCTGAGGTACTCAACGAAGAGATACCTAAGTACAAAAATGGCACTACCATTAGTGCAACAGATCGTGTGAAGTATATACGAGAATGCGCACGAATACTCGCTTCAGAACCGCCTATACTGCTAGCGGCAGTCGACGGCGACTTGGTGCGCCGCATGCGGACTGATTCTGAATTGAAGCGAGAATACGACCTCATCTGCAAGAATGCAGCAAAGCAGCCGTCCATATACATACACCAATTCGCAGACCTGAATGGTATTCCGCCTACTCCTAATCAAATGCTTATCATCTGCAATTGGATAGCCGACTACATAGCCGATAATCTGGCAGAAGGCAAAGCTTCCGAGCAGCTCTGGCAGATAGACAACGTCTCCCCGGGAAGACCGCTGATTAACCAGCAAGACTCTGCCAAAGGCCACCGCAAGTATCTCTACACGACGCATTCCAGTCGATCAAAGAAGCGTGTCGGTACCCTCGAACTTTTCTGTCAAGGTACCCAGAAACGTTGGCAGGAGACGCCAGCATCACTACGCGATACACCCCTTCGATATCCTCTTGGGGAGTGTGGATATTCTGAAAACTCGGAAAATCGTCTGAAAGAGCACCGCCAACGGAAGTCATCCAACTACATAATGAACCTAGTCGAGGACATATCCACCCACCTCCACAACATCGGCATGTTTGAACAACACTTCAAAATGCACCAGTATATTGTCTATCTCATCGACCGGCGGGAACAAGTAGAGATCGCGGAGATCTTTTGCTCCGCATTACTTCGAGTTTGGGTGAGTAGCGGCGGTGGTTTCAACTCGTACCCTGCTGGGCTTAGCGTCAACTCTTCGAAGAAGGTCAGCAATATTGACTGGGCTTCGTACGAGATGAACACCACCTTGCACTCCCCCATCACCGAAAACATGAGGATGCAGCAGCTCAGAGCAGATGAGTACCGACAAGCACTGGAGTGGACGAATGACAACACTGTAGACTCGGAGACGGGAGAGTCAGCAAGCCAGGAAGAAGAGTGCATGTAAGTTGAACTACTGAAGGGCTCGATCAGGTACTGACGTAGCGATTCTAGTGCTCATCTCTCACAGCTGTCGATGTAAACCTACTACCCTTGACTATGACTGCTATATCCTAACGTAGTTCTCATTACTACACCT